ATACAGAATACTGTTACTGGGTACGATGCACTTATCGCTGCTGCTAGAAATAGCCTAACGTTTGGGATAAACTAACTGGATGAAAGTTTATGTGAAAGTTCAAATTTATTGCGATGTCATTATTGCCGCTCGTCAGACTCCTCATTTCCTCTTTCTTACTTACTTATCAAATTTAAGTGCCTTCCAGTTAAAAAAAACCACTGCTTTCATCTTGAAAAATTGTATATCTCACTGACCGGCAGCGTCATGGAAAATCACATACCAAACACGGGCCCATACACCTTAGATTTTCAAGATAGCGGCACGTCACAGTTGTAAACATATCTTGGTTTTGTAGCGTCCGTATGACGAATTTATCAAGCATATGCATGCCCCCACTGAATGTTCTGCAGCTGAGCGTAGCTGCATACCCAATGGACAAAACGTGAAAATACGGTCTAAAATTTCAGTAGACAAAATCAGAAGAGCGCCGGTCGTCACTCGTGAACAAAAGCGTAAAAACTTACCCCTTTTTTCCAGTAGTCTATTCGCCAACAAGCAGCCAGGCATTGATGCCCGGAAACAGCCACCTCAGTCTTTTATATCTGCCTTGTAAATGCCTTTATCGACGAATAAGTAAACCCTTCACACGACGGTAGCCAGTGAATCCTTGCTGTAGCCAGGCGCGAGGGACGCGCCGTCCTTGGTATCAAAAGGAATACGGATAGTCATTTTGATACGGGTCTTTTTATGCCCATGTATGGCGGATTTACCTGTTTTTATGCTGAAATTTGAGGAAGAAACCATGTGAAAACTTGTACCATCTCAAACTTGTCGTCATCAAATCAACCACTTATCCAGGTTGTTGCAAAAGCCTCAATCCACCTCAAGAACTGATCTTCTCTAGTACCATTCTGGATAGGAAGATAGTAATCTCTGTGTCATTCCAACTCTTAAGGCCCTACGTAAAGTCTAGTAGACCAAGTCCCAAGTTTCTCAAAGGGTATTTTGATGCACCCAAAATTAGACTTGGCAGGAACAGAATAAGCCTCAGGACGTCGGTTAAAAAACAGAGGCTGAAAGCTTTGCAATGCCCTTGATAACACGAACAAAAGAGGCCTAAAACGACGTCTTTATGGAAAGCCAACCATGCAGAATCCAGTGTGCAATTCTTGCACAGCGGTTTTATTGCCTTTATATAGAGGTGTCAGATGGTCTTACTGAGACCACTTACTGCGTTTATCCTGTTACTATATTTATTAGCGGTCACTGACTTTCTTGGAGGAAGCTGCCTCAGAGTGGAATAGAATAGCTAAATACTACGGATATGGGCACAAGAGATCGTGTTTAGCAAACCCCAACCCACTCAAGACAAATGAACCAGGGAAAATGGGGCTAAAATCATCCACCTCGATTTCTCAGAAGCCTTTGATGGACGGTATCATTGCATCCCACATCCGAATGCCAGAAACGGTGTCAGTGTCTTCCGCTTTAATTGAATCAGTTGGTAAAGCATCAAGTTGTAACTTTACGCTTTAGTCGAACGATGTTGGAACTTTGTTTACCTTTTGTAGAATTCCCAGAGTCTTGGTACGGAAAGTCCTCAGCGCTCTCTGTTTTTTTCAGCTATTCACATGCAAACTGCAGTTATGAAGATTTGAAAGGAGTAATTCTCCGGAGATATCAGCCGATCTTCTGATGGAGTACAGCTGGTCATTATCAAACAAAAAATTTCAAGCGGTTCCAACACGCCACTCTATACTCTGCTTGTACACCTAAAGTTCTCAAACTTTTAGCCGTCGGTGATAATGGAGGTTCATAATAGTCATCACCATTGGCTGAAAGAACCGCGCACCAGCCGTACAATTCTTATAGCTACCACGGTTTTCCCTTGCCAGTGATTTTAGAAGTGGAGTAGATGGCTGTGCACTATAGGTGGTAGCTGACACAACCAATGAGTAAATACAGGTGTATCAGTGGGGAATTATCGTCAAGCACGATTCTGAAAAAATGGCTTGCAACCAAAAGCAAGTGACGGTGGAAGCAAGCACCTTAAGTCCTTGGGCCATTTAGACAATGTCTAACCAAGAGACTAGTCACAAGATACACTAGAGAACACACCAATGTGCCATTCAACCATAAAATTGTTGACAAAATTTTAACTCCATACTGTTACGAAGAACCTCGAATGTCACCAAATTAATGAGCATAATAAATGATCCTTTCTACTGGAGGAAATTGGTTTATCTTAGTCTGTGTTCGGTCGATTCCGTTGCGGTTTTTAGATTCTGCTACATTTGTTCCACCAACTGCTAAAGTTTGCCTATAAAAAACCTCACGCAAATAGTGACATCACAACTGCTGTCACAATTACTACACCCTCTGTTTTTGCCACCTCCAGAACTTCTTACCCCTAATACTGCATTCGAATCTAATCCGACCTCCTTCAAAAAGCTGCTTGAGAGTCAACTTCAACCAGTGCAATCCTTAGTCTGCTAGTTGAACCAGTGGCACCCGGTCTGATTGCTGTTGCACTCTATTGGGCCAGTGAAGCTCAAGCTCAATAAACCTTTATGAAACTCAGTAAAACTCACTATAGCTCACTGATAAACCCAAGCAAACCTGTATGTAATACCAACGTTTTATCTCACCAAAATATGGAAACGGCACAAGGGGAGATTAAATAGATAAAACTTTGTCCCCTGGCTAAACACAAGTGACTGATTACCGACCAGATAAGGGGTTACTAGTAAATATCACAAGGTACAACAATATGTAGAAACTCATCCGAAAGGCATACAAGTTCCGCCTTATTAAAAATGCAGTCGATTAGCTCAACCAAGTCTTCACCTGTATCCGACAAAGACCTAGAAAAGCAGAAGCATTACAGTCAAATTTTAGGTAAGGCAAGTTGATGCTAGCATACACATACTTCCTGATCCACTGTATATTGTAACGTGCTCAAATCCCGACCGATTTGGAGAGAAGAAAAACGCAAGCACAGCCGTATCAAACACAAAACTTCTCTGCCCGCTGTACATGAACAAACAAACATGCTATAAACAGCGGGTCTCAGAGGTTGCTTCTCTAGCTTGAGAAGATCACTTCGGCTCTAATTGTTGCCGTAATCTTTCAGCATTTAGTAAAAGAAGCCATATCACTATTGGCGAGGTAAAAGATCATCGATAGGTTATTTCACAAGGATAAAGACAAGTTAAGCTAATCAGTGTTAAACAAACCGGCCCATCGCCTGTGGTTAGAAAGGTATTGGGTGATGAATGAAGGGCTTTTTGCGGCAGTACACCTAGATTAATGGACCGTAAGCGTTGAAACATTGTTGTTTTCTAATCATACAAATCCGTTTTGCACATTCTTTGTTGAGATGCAAAGATTGTCCGGGAGTTTTATCGTGATTTGCTATCAAATTCAGGGTTTAAAAATCCTAGTGCAGCTCTTGTTCAAGTACAACATGATATTTTTCTTGATTTTTGGCAAAAGAAGTGAATTTCAAGAACACTCACTGTACAAGACAGAGAATTATTTTCAAAGTCGTCGCCGCAAAATTAGAGATTGTAGAGCCTTCAGGATGAGTGCCAGCGGTCAACGTAGATCACCAAACAACATAACCACGTATATGCACCTCACCTGTTGACAGAACATAAAAAGCCTCGTGTTTGGTGGATGATTGGCTTACACCACAAGAAACTCTGGTTTGCGACCCAGGTGCTTTCACCTGCAGTGCGAATAAGGGCAGCAAAGTGTTACGTGCTTCACCAGAATCAATTTTACCCTGAAAAAACAATGCTTATTAAGTCAACCAGGTCTATTACGTAGTAGTGCATATGTTTATTTTTCGTGTGCGGCAAAACAAACGAGTGAAGTAAACGGCTACAAGCAAAAGCCTCAAAACGAAATTTTCATATGCAACCGCGGCTTCTACAACGTGACCTTTTTGCAATAAAATTCAGGTCTCTCCTATAAACATGGTTTATGTGGATCATGCTCGCGATTACGTCATCCATACTCAAAAAGTTACTCGGACCCGATGAGTTACATGCTATCAAGTTGTAAATATTCAGTTACATTATTGCTCTGACTTTATTGTCACCGTAAACAAGCTTTCAGGTGGAGAAAGGAAACGTATGTACTGACTGGAGTTGTGAAAAAGACGGAATGAAGTACCAAACAACCGTCAATTCACCATTTCTGGTGAAGTGGTGAGATTTTGGAATTTCGGTGAAGACTTTGTTCTGTAGATGAAGCCCACCAATGCTGAAGAAAGCAAAAAGCACCGCACAGATTTTTTATCTTGATTGTAACTAAGAAGCACTGCAAATTTCATAAACTCAGGAACTCTCGAATCCAAGACCTCACGGCTAATATCCTAAATGCTACGAGAGGTTGATCGGCCGTGTGACTAGCCCATACATAGACAAGGTACAGCGTCACTTATCCTTCATTCACGAGATCCACATCACATAATCAAACGTGCTGACTGATTTCTTGAGAGACAACTTCCACGAAATTTCTTGAGATTTGAACTGCTTGCGGTTCCCAATAAGGATGTTTCTCGTCTTTTCAACACGGACTAATTTCAGTTACAGAATAGGACCTCGTGAGCTATAGATGTAAGCTAGATGTAAGCTATAAAATATCGTGGTAATTTCCACTGGGAGGCCTCAGAGATATCTCAGTAGGAACAAATTTTGAGCTCGTCAGCACACGTGTAGCCCTTAGCTTTCATGTGTGACAATGCTCCTGAGTGTCTGGGTGCTTTCAAAACAGATAAACACAATTTCGAGGTGACAAGTTTTAAATTTTGTGAAGCATTTGACAAAGTTTCATAAGGACTGTTGGTGTGTTGAGTATATTTCCACACACACACCCACGAATTCTTCCAACATGATCGAAGCTTCTCCGTGAGAATACTTTGGGCGCTTTCTATGTAGGCAATTAACAGTGGTGCCTTGTGAGATTAGGTTCTGGATCATAAACCAATGTGATTATTTTACCCAAATTACGTGTCCAATGCAAAATCCAGGCTTAACTATTGAGTGACGATGGCCCGGATCGTCTACATGATAATCCAGATTATCTGACGATATGGCCCGCATTCCGATAACTAGAAATAAACGTGAACGCATATTTGGTTTTGTTTGCGCAGCGAGAGAATCGGTTACAAATTCAAATGAACCATAACTTTTTCACGTGAAAAAAGGACACCAAATTATGATCATACACTCATTTACGTACATTTTCTTAACTTCTCAGTCTAAAACGTGCTTTTAGAAGCTAAGCAAGTACTCAGCAAGCCAAATCTAGCTCTTTTCTCAGCACTCCTTACCACGCTTGTGTAACCACACCAGAGGTGGGGGAACCGGAGGCTGCCACTGAAATCAGAAGGGAATGAAACACATCAAACAAATGCAGAGAACTTTTACTGATTTTGTGGTAAGGTACTATCTGTGGGACTTTTTGGATCTACTGAAGCTGTTTCTATGGTACAATTACAGGGCGGGAGGAGGTATGATACCACCTTCTCACCTCCTGTGGCAGCGCAGCCGCTACATCTCTTATAATGTTACCAACGTGTAAGGTTCAGAACTTTAAATTGTGTCCGTTGAGCAAGAAACTTCAAAGGTATTGGCAACATTTTGACGATCAAGCAAGTTCATCAGTCTCACAGTCAGCCGCTGTGGCTGATAAGGAAAATAATATCACCAACCAACACTAACTTTGGCACCAGGAAAGCTCACATGGGTTAATCAGATCAAACTGGTTTAATGATTAGGCACAAATAAATTTCCTAATGCCTTCTGTCCACTGAATACTGACTGATGGAGGGAGTTGTTCGAATATTTAGCTGGAATTTTGTGCCTATAAGCAAAGTAGGAAAAGCCAAACAAAGCTCCCCATTAAACAAAGCTCTCAATCAGTCCCTGGTAAGTAACGCTCCAGTGAAACGCACTGAAGCTTAGCTATAAACTACTGGCTTCAAGATATGTCTCACAGCACGCAGTACAGGAACAACGATCAAGAAGTCCTCATCATTTACCAGTCCAATTTTTTATTGTTAGTACCCGTTTCCGAGGAGCGCGAAATCCTTTGTTCTAAACGGGCTGGTTATTCCTGCACTGCCAATTAGTGCGTGCGTCGTTATGTGCAAACTGAGAGACGTGACATTTGTTGCGAAACACGATAGTTTAGCTCCCGGTCTATTAAGAATGCGGTTACACACGGATAGCGAAACCGTGAAATCCCCCTCTTGTTTCCACCAAGGTTGAGCCGGTTGCATAGACTATGTGGATACACCAATTTATAGTACATGTGCCTGGTTTGTTAAAAGTCACCAACCGCAAAGCCCCAAGATTTATCCCATTGCAGAACGACTTCACTAGTTCTCGATTGTAGAGAGATGGTACCACACTCTACTGAGATCACCATTCAGTAGGTTAGTTTAATTAATGAACCAATTGGTAATATACAATATTCTCTTCTTTTCAGCTTTAATCATGGGTAAACCAAAGTGATGATCATCCACCAATTTTATTTTTACAGCTATGGCTTTTTCAGCCACGAATAGTCAGCTCTGTGTTTGTGTTCTATTCTACGGTATCTACGGAAAACTTTTTCTACTGAAGCCAGCCGGTAAGTTGGTGAATAACTCTGGTTCGAGCGTGAAAATCGTGTCTGTGGTCTAAGCGATTAAAGGTTATTACTTGTTTTTTGGGCACCGTTGCAAAATACGCCCATATGTGTATTTATATATATACTCAGATGGTGCTTGAAGAGTTTTCATCTCTGTGTGCTTTGGAAAAGCCAGAAGATGGGGATGAGTGATTTATTACTCGCAACTGTGTTTTGTGGCACGTCATTCAACGGATGGATTATATTGAATGACTAGTAGGTTGAGAGAAGACGTAGCGCTTGGAATAAGCTTATTAGGTGATTCGCAAGACATTTGCTACGTGCAGCATTCAACTCACCAACAAGTGCGTAATGTTTGGAGGGACCTTCTGAGCATAAAGCTGCGTTATTTTGGTAGACAAGTGTTTCACTTTCATCTACTGGCGAGAAACAGAAAGATTGACGATATGCCTTAAATTAAAGCTTCACACCCACTAAAGTATACATTAGGTGGAAAGGGACATCTTAAGGAATTGGATGAGGGAAAATTGGCACAGTGAGTGACGGAAACTTTTTCAAAATTCGTCACCTGCATCTGTTTTAGTACAATGATCCTACTTTTACAAAAAATGACCTCAAAAATTGCCCTAATAATCTTCATCTTATGGATATTTCCTAATGAATTGCAGCAAAGAATCTTACTTTCTGGGGGGGTATCTGTGTCTGTGAACAAGAAAAAATGGATTTTTATAGATAAAGTTTTAATACCGCCAAGTTGAGGATAAAATGCCATAACGTCTTGAAATACTCTTTGTTAGGACGTAGGGTGCCAAATTGCCCAAATGAGGTACAAAATTACTAACGGATAGAAACTCAGAAGCGTGATTTCATGTACTGTTTGGGCTTTGTTTTTTGACATCGTCATACACGAAAAAACTTCGTAGAATCTATGCACAATCTAGTTAACGTGCTTCAACCATCTATAAATTGAGCAAGCAACAATAAGCTCGGAACTGAGATAGAGAAACATGTAGATCAACAAACCAACGCCATTTGTATTTCACCCTCCATAACCATAGAAAAAGTACAAAATACTTGTTGCCTGGTTGTTGCTTGAATGGGTAATTGAAGGCATCAACGCTTCTCTCGCATGAATGTTGATTATTTCAGAGTTTTTTGCAACTGTCCGCTGGGTGAACATCATTTCATTACCAAGAAGCAAACCTCATTGCTGAAAGAAGGCTTTATTACTAGTTGATTTCATAAGGAAATGTTCTATTTCAGAACTCTTTCTTGTCAACTTTTATCAGAAAGTTTAAAACAAATTAACCAATTCATGGATCGGTGCATTTTTCATGGTAACACGCTACGAACTGTAAGCAGGCCAAGATAGTTAGCGGTAGTGACAGTATGACTAGTGTGATGAAGATTTCGTCTTGTAAAATTTCCGTGCAAAATAGCCAAAGAGCACTGCGCAGCTGTTTCGGCCTTATTGCGAATCGTCACCAGTGCGCATCTCACGAAACTCCAAGGAGTCTTGAACCTGCCATTAGTTGAACGCATAATCATTCGGCCACGAGCGGCAGATCAGCAGTGCGGTTAGCTAGCACTTGGACGGAATAAAGCGCCTCTTTTCAGTGTACATAAAATACGACAGCTAAAATATCGCCCATATTCTAACCAAAAATCATGCCTATGATAAACCATAAAATCCGAAAATAAGTTCGCGAAGAACAAATTGTATGTATCCAATGACAGAGAAGAAACCAACTCCGGAGTTTTTATTCGTTTTCTATTTGGTTGCATCATGAATTGCTTTTGTGAAAAATCATTTTTGAGCTATTTTTGTTACGTATCTCTTTCCAAGTAAATTTTTGACAATATGAGACGTCAATCTAACTGGTAAGCTGAATGAATTAATTGCATTTCGGAAATCAACCAAGTTATTAGAGCAAACACGCGAGTTGTTGTTGTAGTGAGGTGTGTCCACTGAAAATGTTGCACTTGTGACAGAACCCTTTCCACAAACACTATTTAAACGACCTGTTTAAACAAATATCAATTCAGGTGACCCTAGTAGAAAGTCTAATAAACCGATAGGTGTATTTCCATGAGCAACACGAGAGAAACTGAACGAAACTGACTATTGTAAACGCATAAAATAAACCACGTCGAAGGTCTGAGTTGATTGAAAACCAACGGAGACGATAACATACTTAAAAGTCAGGTACTAGCGTCACTTAATTTCTTCATGTTGTTATTTCCCCCCATACTGTCAAATAAAACCAGGTGGTGTGCGTTTAAAATTATGATCAGATCATTGATCCCATGCGTGTCTACACGGGCTCTTTTGCTTGCTTTATCACGAGGACTTACATAACTTCCACTGACCAAGACAGTCTCCATCATTTTAAAAAATACCGATGCGCGCAATTCAAACACCGCACTGTGTGCGCATCCGAATAGCACAAACAGCAAAATATTAGCTGGTGATAAGCTCTCCTTGAGTGAATTCAAACGCACCATTATGCTCATATTCTCACTGGCCCTGGAACGGGGTCAAATAAGCGTAAATAAGTAAAACATTTTAATAGAAAAGCAAAAACGAGTAGTTCGTGGGATCTCTGAAAAGAAACACATGGGGTTTCTCATCTGATATAATGCGAACCACTGTATCTCAATTTATTGCCATATATGCGTGCCTTGTCTTTATTCTTATTACTGACCCCCCTAGACAGGTACAGTGATAACTCGCATAGGGTTTCTCATCTGATATAATGCGAACTACTGTATTTCAATTTATTGCCATATATGCGTGCTTTATCTTTATTCTTATTACTGACTCCCCTAGACAGGTACAGTGATAACTCGCATGTTACAGGTTTGAGATTTTAAGTAGTGACTTAGAATGAACCTATTTATCGAATCGCATGACACTTGAAAAGACGGCACAGTTTGCTAGAGCGGTGTCTGACACCAATCGAAGTTAGGTTGTCACCATCAGAATAGAAAGCTAGAATGGTGTACGTGCCGTGGCTGAAGTTATTTAGCAGTATCAAAAGACAAAAATACATGCAAATCCCAACACACTACGTCCTTTTCATCCCTCCGATCCTTCCATTGTCAGTAGAGTCTATCAGTCCGGCGGATCGGTATCCATCTCTACGGTGATTTTTTCCTTTTTCTCTTTTTCCCCACTAGTCGCTTTGGAGATTTACGCCGTGGATTCCAGAGGTGTGCGCTTTCACAGCCGCACGATTGTCGTTGAATTTAATTCATTTGTCACGCTCGTGTGCACTGGTAGTGGTGTTGACAAACCTATACTATGGGAGCACAAGCATTCTGCTCATGAGGTCTTTTACCGAGTGGAACTCTCCGAGTTTGTTTCGGTCGAACGCAAATCTGATCAAGAGCTGCGGCTTGCCTTGACCAAGACGCGTTTTGCAACGGCCGGCAAATACCAATGCATTTCCAAATTTTTCAAGACATCAGTTACTTTACAAGTGCTTAATGGTAATCTTGAGTTCAAAAGTGCATTCCGAAAAGCCATCGGCTCTTTAGGCATACATGCTCAGACGCGAAAAAAAGTAGTGTATGTTGGGAAATTTCAGCTAATGGTTCATAATCTTGACCTGGAAGTAGAGCCAGGTTTGGTATGTAAATTTGGTATTGGAAGTCACACTATGAATGATATCAACGTTATCTGGACTGGTGGACTTTACGCTACCAACCCAGAGCTATATGAACGAACCTTATTCATTGGCAGCGACGGAAACCTTGTCAGCTCTCTAATGCTGCGTCGGGCGAGTGAGTTTATCTATGCAACTCTAGCTGGAACAATTGTAAAGTGTTTTACGATTCTACCAAGCGGTTATCACGAAAAGGTTCCTTAATGAATGCACTATTTACATGACCTTAGTGCTACTATTCTTTCTTGTAAGTAGGAACATTAAAATAAAAAATAACCGTTTTGGTCCTACACATTCGTAAATTTATCTGATGAGAATACGCATAGTTAGTACTATGGGTTTGTCTTTACTTGAGTGAGACTCTGAGGAACACCAGAAATGGACTACCTTTCTACATTGGACCGCACTACACTGGAACACATCTCACTTAGTCCCTGTCACCACGACCGTGTTTTTGGTGCCAGTGTTGCTGTTCTTGGCTGAGAAACTATAATGAAATAAAGTTGCTGGAGCCTAAGAAAAGCTCATATTCTGTTTTAGACTTTTGATTATTAGTAATGAGTGGTCATAGAGGGCCAAAGACGGAATACTGAATTCTTCAAAAGTGCTCTTTTGCTTCGTGGAAGCGCAGTATTCTGTTCTGTTGCCTACGCACAGCTAGTTGTGTTTAACTTATTAATCTTCACGGCGCTACACTTCTCATTTTGGTATTGCCACAATAATTTATTTAGAGAAGGATTTACCTTGACCAGCCATAGCGGAATCACGGGCATGTAGCCAGTGTACCACAGGTACCCTGAGATGCCCATCCCTCCAAGCACTGGCTTAGTGAATCAAGAAAAAAGATGACAGCACAATCATCATGGATGCTAGTCACCGTCCTGTTTTGAAGAATTTCTAGTAAAGTGCATATATAGGCCACTCATACCCGAATATTACAGACACATCTTAAGGACTTTCCTGTCCTCACTCTTCTCTAGGCTACAACTTATAAGGCATGGTAAACAGCCAAGTTTATGGCAGATGGAAAAATGGCGTGTGTCAGACAGCCGCATCTTACGCTACTAGCTGCATTCAGTGGTGAGGTACTATGTTAACTTTATAAAGCCCCAATAACTGACGTTGTTTATCCACCATACAAGCACCTGAGAGCAATGGACATAAGGCACCAACTGTTTTGCATTGAATGTGTATCCCGTGAATGGGAAACTCGGAAATATTCGACGACTGTGCAGGACAGATATGAAATCGGCAATTTCTGTTCTAGACATAAGTGATGAACCCTGACCAACAGCAGACGGTGCTGTTCACAACAAGTTAGATGTAACGTAATTGCACTTTTCCGCTCTGTTCGGCTGGTTAGCATGTACTTTACTTTTTCCAGCCGAAGGTTGGATTGTCTATGTTTTTCTTTTTCAAGCCAGTAACGGAATGGAGCAGAAAAAGGACCATGTGGGGAGCCGTAATTAAAAGACCTTGAAAATACACAGGCTTGTACCATCGGATCCATTCAGGGCTTTTAGGGAAATTCTCAACATCAGTAACTCACCTCCCAAACACTCTAAAACATCGTCATTATCTCTTCTTTTCCTTAGGTACGGATATCAGACTATACGGGAAGTACACATGCGACCTTGTCGTTGAAGGAACTAAGACAAACAGTTTCGATATACTGTTAAAATGTACGTTTGGTTGTTCCGCGTACATTTGGGTCCTGCGTTTTAAACATCACTTTGGGTCATTGTTCTTGAATTACAAATTAGTCCTTCACTTAGACATATCTGAGTACGCTGGATTAACTCACAAACGGGTATACTTCATCTCCATAGAATCAGTTAGCAATAATCAATGGGAATTTGCTGATGAATAACCTCTTGTCCTCATATGTTCTCACCAAATCTCTTTTTTTGAATCTTTTTGAATCACTCAGATCCAATTTAGTGTCGGTGTTAGACGCCCTCAGTGCTCCTAATGTATTTGATCTTCTGCTTAGCAGAATTTTTGCTATTTTTCACTAGGTTGACAATTAAGATTTTCAAAATATTCCAGAAATTCTTAAGTACCCAAACAAAATCAGAAATAAATTTCACTGCAAGTTAAGGTTAAAATAGGAGATAGAAAAAAAGCCATTTCCCAAACATCAGTTCACTCTCACAGGAATTGTTCATAGGTTGCAGACCGCCACCTGCATACGCTAAAAAACAATGAAGTGTACTCAGGTTATCGAGAAATACACTCATATACAACTCAATTTGTTCTTCACGAGAAACTCAACTGAATATCTCGTTTGTGATATTCTACAACTGAATGATTTGAGTGTATTTCTCGAAAACAGTCCTCAAATAGCTCATAAGGTTGGCGGAAACTCGGGGACTGCGCCTACCTGATGAGCCCCAAGAAGGGCGAAACTGGTCGTGAGCTGCCGAAGAGTTTTTCGCAACTTTATGAATAGTTTGCTTTATGTACTCATGTTAATTTGTGTTCGCAAACATGAGCTCGCCGACATGCTTGCGCATGACTCCGTTTCTGGCATTCAGTAGCCCGAATAAACGTGCAGCTAAATTGTTCCCACGCACTGGTCATCTTATCTTTCTTCTTCTCCAATCATTGAAAATTTCATTCTGTTATGTCCGGTCGTCTGTGTTTTTTCTTTGTTTTCATTCTTGTTTCTTCCCCCTTTTGTGTGGTTTATTTTTAGAGCAATAAGCATCCCCACGAGTCACCAGTTCTCTCTTTAACTCGTGGATCAAATATTTGTAAGAGCGTCTGATTGTGAAGCAACCGCATGCTGTGTTATCCCTAATAAACCAGAAAAAGGAAAACTTTCCGTGAAACTTACTTTATGCTGCATAGTTTCAGTTGTGATCCATAAAAAAACAGTTCCGCCACACTGCTCAGATGTTGGAGCTTGGAATATGGAAACGCTTATTCCCACCCTTTGTGAAATAAATGATAAGTTCGCTTTCTTCCAGACCCTAACGAATGAGTAGTTAGCGAATCGTCACCAGTGCAATAACCTTTGTCTACTAAGTCTAGTTTTTTTCGTGTTGTACTGAAGAGATTTATCACAGAAATTACTACCAACTTTGTTCCAAGACTTATTTGTATACCTCAGTATTGGCTGTTTGGGTTTTAGCTGTTTAAAAACAGTAGAACAGAGATTTCTTCACATGATTTTGAGTCGAAAAATAGGACATAATTCAATCGTTTGTGTAACATCTTCTGAAATACAAAGAATTTTCATCACACTTTGTCCCATGCTTTGAATATCCTGACGCGCCGGTGGGTGTGACAAGTAGCAAAATTTCATGAACTGAATTTAGTTGGAAAATAAGCAAATAAGAGTGATGTTTGTAGCAGGCAGTCGTTTACGGTTAAATACGACGTGGAGAACAGTGACATTGTCTCCCTGCGCATGAAGCAGCTTGTATCTGAACTAGGTAAGTTAATAAAAGCCTGAAGTGAAGAATGCCTTTTAAAAATTAGTCCCATAATTTCACTGGGCTTCCTCCTATAAGGAAGGCTCACCTATAACCCATGTCCGTGTAATGGTTCTTGAATGCCCCTCTCCACTTATTTAATTACAGTTCCTCCGTTTATCCCAAATCCAATGCAACTCGTGTACCTTACTTACGGTGCAAACTTCTCCTACACGTGTAACGTCATCGTTTATCCCCCTGTCAACATAACAATCACGTGGGCCAAAGATCTGAACCGCATCAACGAATCCAACCAAAGGATAGTATTCGGTACTGAAAAGATCCCTAACGACCGGATAACCATCAAGGCAATCAGCTTAGAAGACTTTGGAGTCTATTCATGTTTTGCGCAAACCATTCAAGGAAACAGAACGGGTGTTGTCCGTTTAAAATACAGAAGTAAGCCTCGAACGAACATTTTCTTTCGAAGACCCAAAATGTTGCTGTTGGGGAGTCGTTTTTTGGTCTGTCAAATTATCCAGAGCAGCGGTTTTTAACTGACTGAATTTCCAAGGGATACACAACTATTAACATACTTTTATACATACTTCTATTGTTCCATCATCTAGCACCCAGAGTCACCATTTTTTTGCAATTTTTTCGCACTTGTGTCTACTCTCAAAAGCGTGTTTTGAGGGCACTGTCAGAGGCATTTAGAACTACTTCGGAACAACTAGTGAAACTGTACAGAATCGAAAGTGCAGACGGTTGAGAAAATAACCAGCTGTACTTTGTGTGTACCCACCTGGCTGGTCCCTGGGTGGCATAGTCTGTAGATACCTTCACGGCGCAAGACGATCGATCTCAGTAACCTTCTTCTAAAGGCTACCAATATTTCCACTCTCGTTGCGGTACCTCTTCTACAGAGCATACAGCAATCGGCACCAATATAGTCATTCGAGTCAGTCCTTATAGGCAAGCAAACGACCGAGTTTACCAAGAACTTCGCAATTTCACATTTTCAGGTTTGAGCTTCAATGAGGTGAAGATTTTTGGTCCAAAACTTCGTTTGATTGGTTTGTTCTACAGCGCAATCACTCTTCCACAATGTGTTTACACACACACGTCAGTTCTCCGTCACCGCCAATTGTGTCCGCTGAAAAAAACATTATACCGTTCTTGTTAATGAGATGCAATTTAGTCAACGATTTATCCTATCACGAGTTTACTATGACGTTTGCTGAGACTCTTATGAGATTGATGAGTGGTCCAGTGATCCCTTCTCACGCCACTCACCTGTTGAATAAAACGATGCTAGTGGATCAGAAACGGTGATGACAGTTTCGTCGCTGCTGCTGTTCATAAAATTACAAGCAGTATTAGCATTCAAGGGTGCATGATACTCTGAAATGATTTGAGGATCAACAACATCCTCAGCTGTGAGCTGAATGAAGTTGCTAAAAAGACTGTCTCTCACACCGTTTCTTTCCCTTTTTTATTACTGTTACTCAAATGTAATCTAATTACTTCGACAACTTCAGGGACTTCTGTCCTTACTATGTACAACCTCTCTTAAAATGTGTAGAGACCAACAGCTGTACTTGTCTGTCTTGTACCAGCAAAGATCTCAAAACTGTCTATCGACTGAACCAAGCAAACGAAACCAGTTGGACGCCAGAAATGAAGTGTTTTTCCTTCTCGAGAATTTGTACGCCTTCCCTGGATCTGGCCGTAGCCAACTGTCACAGTTTCCATAGTTATTAAGAGTCCTTTAAATTTTGGGAGAAATGTTAATGTAGAACAAACTAGGCACAACTAGTTAACAGTTGTTTGGATAAAAAAGAAGCCTAAGGAGGAACGCCCACTTAGATGTTTCGACCAGGTGCACAATGCGATATAAGTTGAAATCAACCCACTGCCTGTGTACGTCATATTATCACACTTGTAAGCTCGGTAGATCGTCACGAAAGCCGGTCGATTATTCGCGTCATTCATCCTAATAGGCGATAACATCCATGAACTAATTTTCACGCTCTTTAACTTCTGGTCAGGGCAACTGCAGTTGTTCTCCTTCAATGTTCACCATTAATGGCCTTTGACAAGTGACTACACTATATCTTTGTTCACCACTGACTCAAAAATTTGATCACGTAGATAAGTTGACAATTAGATCGTTTTGACTAGTCTTTCAGGTAACTACGATCTTCAGGGACGATTAACAGAATCTGCTCTGTTCTCGAATGCGGCAAAAACCAGTTGATCAAACACTCTTGGTTGTTTTTCCACCAAAATCCCCGTAAATCTCGACTTTATTTGAGAAGAATACATACGTTTGGGATGCAAATGCATCTTATAGCTCAGTTGCATATCTAAACGACGTTATATTCTACTTAACTACAGTAATGTCTGTCTGAAGTGACAAACCCAGGTGAAAATTACAAGCATGCATCCAACTCTGGTTTTATACGTGTATTTGAAAATATCCTAAATCCCGTTCCAAGATAAACTCTCCATCTAACTTCAGCCCATTGTGTAATAGGACCCGGAATTTGTCAAACACTGCTTCCACCATCTCTTCATCGAGCTATAATGGTTCTGAAAGACAAGCAAGTGAGCAGACTTGAACGAAGTGCTTGCATATTTGAGGGCAAAACAGTGATGACTACTGAACATGAGCAGTTATCTTGTCTTATATTTAGGAAGTCATTGGTGGATTTTCTTTGGTTAGTCAAGGGCTGTTGTTTGCGTGTGGACTATAAGTTAAACTCCTTGTGTACCGCAACGATTAAATCTGTTTATCGGTCTACCCAAGCTACCAATGAATCACCAAATGCACGCATTCTCTCTTGACTCGGTATGGATCACTGTCTCTCCCCCTATCCAAGTAGGTTCGCTTGCTAATCATGCTGAAAACCGGTAGTCCAAAGAAAGTCTGCCAACATTTTTTTCCGGAAAACTAATTAGAATATGACAATTTGACGTTGACACAGTTTTTAATCTTTGCTCTCTAGTGTACTGCTTCTCCACGGGCATCTACCTGGCTATTCTGGAGAGACCAGATATATATTCTGGTAGAGATAGCAATTTTGTATCAGCCATTAGGGTCTGTATTCTTAAGATCTTGCCTCCACGTATGCTACCAGAGCATCAACCTAAATTGCCAATGGCTACCTTGATTTAACCGTCCTTCAAAGTCTACCACTCCCAGTTCATTCTAGGTCTTTTAAAATTTAAATTGTGTTTGTATATTGTGCTCAGCTGTTCTTTGTCACTCAGGTGAACGGTGCGCACTGACGGAAAAAAACAATCCCAATCCAGTGGAGGTAGAATAGAAATAACGAGGAATTATACGTGGGTGTGTAACTCTAGAACTCACAGAGGAAATAAGTAGATTCTCACACAACCTTTTCACATAATTTTTCATATAAATCTGTGATGTATTAACCAGGATAGTTAACAGACAGATAGGTATATCTGATCTAGCTGGAACGTTCAACACTGTCTTTCCCACAATGCAAAATTGTATCATAATTTTAGGGTTGAGTTTTATTGAGCGAGTACGTTTAATAAATTCACCTCAATACGAGTTCGTCTAATTCCCATATTGATTACTACAGACGACAAGACTTTTACGACCATATTTATAAGAATTTCGTAGTTTTTTTACCGGAAGGTAATGAACCGCCAAATTTAATCCCCAGAAAAAAACATCATTGCAAAACCTGGCCTAAATCAAAGGGAACAAAAGCGTTGCGCTACCACAAGCTTAATCATAGTTGCTCGTGTATGTCCGCAGGGCAAACTCCATCAGCTGTCCGACTGACAGTAATGAAAGAGTCTTCGGAACAATGAACCTTGGTAGAGTGAAAAATCTCACTGCAGTAGTATTTATGAGTGGCGCAATTTACTGTGGAGAACTTGGCAATAAAGTGAAGGTAAGAGTAGCGTCAGCACCTTTCTATGTGATTTGGTCAATGGAAGTATAAAAAGAGAGGAGGCGATTAGTCACAAGGTTTTAGCTAATTCATAGCTACATCAAACAAAGGCACACGGTTAATTAACGGTTAGGACTAACTATTTGGATAGCATACCCCTGAGCAGTCTAGTGCTGTCATCTATTGAATTTGGGACACCGGGATGTCGAAAGCGAATATTATTCAATGTAGTAACGTTTAAATGTTTAGAAGCCAACCAACTATTGAGTACACTAATACAAGAGAAAAATGAAATGAAATTCAAAGGAATGTGATATCAGACCGACCTTGCTTTTCATCATTTCGAGAATTTACGACCTTGGCTTTCTAGCAAGTCTATCAAGTGCTATGGCTGAATTTTTCTAGTCTTCAGAATCACAAGTGCTCTGTAAATGGAGACGATTTATGTATGTTATGTTCTGTTATGCAAACATTCGTTTGCCTGCTAAGCTCTTTCATGTAAGTAGCATTGCAATCTCCATACGAGTTTTTGTATACGCGATCAAACCGTTGGCTGATTTGTAAGGGTTTTATCTAAATTTAAGATGCTAATAATGTTCGGAATTGACAAAACTGTTGGTAACTAAGTCATACCATTAAAACTTTATCATATCAATGATCAATCTAAATGAGCATACCAAAAATGTTGTGAGTACCCCTACTTACTAGAAGAGACATACGGGTAACTGAAAATGTATGTTACATGAAAGAATGCACGTACCCTCTCTTCCTGAAGAACCTTTCCAGCTCCAAAAAACTGGGGAAGGACTCAGCAATTTCTCTGCACACCCTGATGGAAAACCATAATTTTTCTAAGCTGACCACGCCAGCTCAATCCACATAGGCCTGACAAGACGCACAGGACGGTGCTGTGCGGAAGCTCAATTAATTCACGAACGATCTGTCTACGTCAATCGAAGCGATCGTCATTTCACTTCGGTTGAGTGGTCAGTTTTCACTAACATCAGCCAATAGAGTAACCCACCAACCTGTGCTCCATTGCATGCAAAGACGGGCATCACATGCCGACCATTTGAAGTTTGAATACACGCCGAAAACGTTTTTTCTTCCGTGCTTTCTGATTCCAATTATTTTACTTCTTAAAAAGATCATCCGTCCACCTGACGCTGACCAGCTTACATGATTTTTTGTTCATTTTTCAGGCAAATGGATTACTCTTCTTCCTTCCTTGGGTTTAATTATCCAGATTTCTCTGGCAGTTTTACTTGTGTTCAGAGTTTAACTATTTTAAAATGTTGACAAGAATTGTACGTAATGTTTTGTTTAGTAAATTGTTTATTATCATGTATTACTTTTTAAAAAGTTATGTTCTAAATGTAGAGTGCTGTCCACGGCTGCCAGAGCTTATAAATTCCAATAGAGGGAAGCACAGTTGGAGCTCTATTTAGAACGTATCTGGAGTACCCGGAAGAAAGCATTATAAAGCTCAATAAAATCTATATTATGTTCAGTTTTGTCTCTTTTATTGAACTAGCCTAATCTGAAATTGTCGGAGTGCTCACAACCCCACAAAGACCAAGGAAAATCTACCAGTGGCACACGAGGTGAATCGTCAATTGAAGCACTCTGAAATTGAAGATTAATGAACCAAACCCGACCAGAATTAATTTGAAACTCCCTCAATCCACAACCGCACTAAGCGACATGATCCGTTAATTGATACTCAACACTAATCTAGTGTGATAATCTGAAGGGGAATTACTGATTGGTTCCCCGTCTGTTTTATAGCCTGGTAAATTTGGCGATCTGCTCACTTGGCCTGATGAGGCTTTTTCTGTCAAACGAAACGTTGCCCAAAAAAAAACTACCGATTGTTTTCCAAGCTCTTGTGACACGATAACCTCAAAGTATTTTAGCTATTTATTTAAATCCATAATGAAAACCCGATACCTCACACAACAATGGTTAAAAATGTCCGTGGTTTCGCTATTCGAGTGCAATGTGGGAGCAGGTGTTTATTGTTAGTCGATGAGTTCTACCACAACGTTGCTTTCTGTAACAAAATTATGCAGTCTTGATGGGTTGTGTTACAGCCATTCCCATGAACTTTCCAAATACTTACATAAAAAAGTGGCTTTGGAAGGCCTAATGAGATTCTGTAAACAATTGTGGTAGACGCACCATTACCATTCATTACCATTCATTACAAGTGCATCGAGTACCCGCTAGCATACCGCAATTTGTCTCCAGAGGAAACACCAGAGAAAGTAGAAAAGCCCTTCATTGCAAAGTCATTTATTAGGAAACTCTAACTGAAAGACTACAGACCATTAGACACAATAGTAAATATCTCATCTGCACATACCTTTTAAAAACTGAACATTCTAACGCATCTTCTTAGACTTTCCTGGATATTCTTTGACTATTACACACCGCAAAGCGGCTCCACAATTTCCATCAGATGCGGTGTCGGAGCTTAGACACCAGGTCATGGACTACTTGCATGCTTATTCAGTGGGCCGTTGGCTTTTCTTCACCTCTGTAGGGTCTTATCTTCCCCAAACCAGGCATGTGCAACACACTTTGTTTGATATTAATATTATTAATATATTAATATGCTCGCATGCAAACATTCACGCCTACTAAATCTCACGGAATGCTGATGCATTAAGGAAGTTCTAGCCCTACAGGCTCATATAAGCTTTGCTGACATTTATGAAGCACATTACAATCATCTGCAAACGAGACCACAATAGCGGCTTTGTACATACGTAGAGTATGACCCCAGAACTTACCTCGTTGACATGACCGGTCTACTGTTCATAAAGGAAGAGAACTTCGATTATTTCGCTTGCCGCTTTCTGTCTACTGCTTGGTACTCAGCGTCAGTTAAAGCGGTTTGTGCATATGAACGGATTTAACTTCAGAAAATCGTTCACGATGCTACGGGTGATCACTCGATACAGCGAGCCTAACGACACAATATCAGATTTTGTGATTCTTCAGGGTTTTTTAAGGTAACTGATGGACTCGATGTCGGGTGAACGTCATTACTTATCAGAGGTGAATTGTGGCTACCAGGTATGGTCGTTTCACTTTATTGTTCATCACCCAGTGATAAACTCCACGTTCATCCGGCTGCCAGTCAGACAGTACTGGCTCTGTTTCAGCAGCTTGTCGACCGAAAAATCCATAATCGGCACTATCTGCACAAACTTGATCTGCATCGAATCCTCTCTCATGCAGAAACTGCTCTTCAAGGACGATGTGCAAGCAGGAAATATGGACCAGGTCAAAGTGTTTGTGGTGCTCTGTAAATCAATGTTACATTTTCCCCATTTTCCACTCTCTTCATATAAACTTGAATTGCAATTTGTAAACACTGTACACGTATCATGACATTTTGTTTTATTGTACCAATAATTACATTAAAGTCGAAAATGGTGGAAATACACATCTTCTTGGCGCGACTTCCCTGCTTTTTGCTGAGTCAGTGAAATTGCATCCAATT